AAAAATTCCTTGCTATGTTTTTGCGATGCCCGGTTCAGCCGGGCGGACCCCCCCGGGCCCAACCGGCCAGGGTCCGCCCGGCCGGGCGCCGGCCCAGCCTAGGAAAAACATAGTTTTCTGGCTATGTCTTACGATCCTGGTCATTTCCAAAGTGCAAATTCACAAGGAAAGACAATGCCACCCAATTGCGAAAGAAATGACAGCACTTGCAAAGAGATAGTCCAAAGAAGAAGAGAGAAAGAAGAAGAGAGAAAGAAGAAGAAGAAGAAGAAGAAAAAGAAGATGTACACCATCACGACCAATGCCAGATCCCCTTCTCTCTCTTTCCTTCCTCCTCCTCGTCTTTGCCAATCTTATTCTTCCTTCACATAATAATAATAACGAGTAGTTGAACCAGAATCAATATCCGAAGCTCGCTCTTACTGCCATCACAACAATAGGTCCACTATAGTCATGGCTTCCCCCTTCTTCCTCCTCACACATGCCAAGGCTATGGCGGACTACGGAGGGATCTGCCCTCCTGTGCAAAGGACAACACAAAGCAGCTAGGTCGCTGCTCATCAGGCCGCCATGCTTCCTTGGTGCGGCACTACCCCAACTGGGGCCTTCCAGATGCAGCGCCTAACAAGGTGATGAAGATGGTGTCCACCATAGCCAGGTAGGTACCTGGCAACTCTCCTCTGTTGCCCACTTCTTCCTCCTCCTCAAGCTGGGCTGCTTGCCATAGCCAGGCTGAGCGCCCAGCTCTCTTCGTCCTCCCAGGCAGCGCTCTGACTTCAGCGCCTGCTCAAGCAGTATGTCGCCAACCTTGCACACCGCAAATGAGGAGGAGCTACTCGCTCCTACTTGCTCCTCGTGGAGATATAGCGGCCTCCTTGCCTCTTGGGCAGTGACTACCAGGCCGCGCAGCCTCCAAGCAACCGGTACCTCCCTCCCTTTCGGAGGGAAACATCATTGCAGGCTCTAATATCGTCTGTACAGGCCCTGGACTCGGGCTACTTGGACTGGTACCGGCCTACCTCTAGCCTACCACTACTGGGCCTCTAAAAATGCGAACTTTTTGTCTTCTTCTGCTTGGCCTCGAGTACTCGACACTTCTACCACTAGTTGAGTGGTACCGGCCTACCTGCTACCCGCTTGTTATGATCCTGGTCAATTTCGAAGTACACTTTCATGAGAATGTACAATGTCGTCCAATTGCAAAAAGAAATGAATGAACTTGAGAGGAGAGAGAGGAGAAGAAGAAGAAAGAAAGAAAAGAAGATGATGTACACGAGCATAGACCAATCATAATTCCCTTCTTCTTTGCTAACCACTCTCCTCCTCCTTATCTCCTTCCCTCTTATTCAAACAATAAATAATAATAATAATGTTGAATGGCTGAACCAGAATTAATGTTTGAATCCCTCTTCTCCTGCAGGTATCACATGAGGTCCACCATAGCCATGGCCACCCTTCTTCCTCCTTCCTCCAAGGCCGAGGCTGTGGCAGACTTCCAGGGCACTGCCCTGTTGTGCAAAGGACAACACAAAGAAGCCATGGCTTCTGTAGCTCAGGCCACCATGCCTGACTCTGCGTAGAACCTTCTTGGTGTAGCTCTACCCCAACTGGAGCCTTCCATATGCAGCGCCTGCCAAGGTGATGAAGAGGGCATCCACCATAGCCAGGTGAGTAAATTTGGCGCTCCTCCTTCCTAGTCCTGGTGTTCTTCCTCCTCATGTCCTTGCTCCTCCCCAGGAACGCTGCTCTGATGCTAGCGCTGCTCCAGGCAGCGTTCCAACCAGTGTGTCGCCGAACTTCCACACCGACAATGAGGAGCAATTTGTTCCTCCTGGAGGTATATCGGCCTGCTTGCCTCCTGGCGAGTGACTTCCTAGGCCGCACAGCCTCCTAGCAACTGGTACGACCTCCCTTTCGGAGGGAAACATCATTGCCGACTCTGATATTGCCCGTACAGGTCCTAGACTCAGACTGGCAGGACTGGATGCTAACTTTCGTCTTCTTCTGCTCGGCCTCAAGTACCCGGCAGATCTACCTCTACTGGGTGTGGTACTGGCCTACCTGCTACTGGAGTGTTTTTCCACTGCTGTAAGTGTTGCGGGCCTCTTTCACCAACAGAGTGTTTTCCCCGCTGCAACCCTCAATGTCACGGCCACAGGTAAGTACCGGCCCTTCGGGCCTTCCGAACGAACAAGTGCCCTTGTGGGTCACACACACACTCAGGGCGACAAGCACTCATACAGGCTTGCAGACCAGCAAGTACACACACACTCAGAAAATCAGCATCAAGTGGAAAACTCAGCAAGGCATACATTCCATTGGCAAAACTCAGTAATCGGCTGTGTGTCTCAGTCCGTGTTTGGCAGGTCATTGCAGTACCCCCCTCTCAAGAGCGAGGTCCCTTCAAGTGAGTAACTCAGAATCTGAGTTCTCGACAAACACATCGTAAGCAAACATAGCAAAAAGATTTCGTGAGTACTCAGTAGCAGTGAGTTTTGCAGCTATTTTTGGTACAGCATTAGAGGCTATCTGACGCTCGTACGCTTTAACAACGCGAGGTGCGCTGCGCAGCAGTTCGTTCTTTGAGATCCAATAGAGATCGTCCAACGGGTGATACATGAAATGAATCCGCTACTGTCTGTTACGTCCTTCCCCTACATGTCTTTTAATTCTATCGATCTTCTGACTGCCACTGATTGCACGAGGGATCATGTCTTCACGATAGTCAAAGGATTTAGCGCCATGGTATATAATCAACTTTGACACATGAAAGACTGGGTATGTGCATAGATGAGGAGGCACAACAATTACGTATGGACTGAATCCATCATCGCCAATCACATCCAAGGCTTCCCACAAACCATAATGAGGAGGGATAAGACATCGTGACCCGGACATTACTTACCACTTCGATAGTCGAAGGTGTGTTTTTTATTCGCATGATGGATCATGGCGTGTTGTTGCTTGGTCATTGCTGCACATAATGAGGAGGGATAAGTTTGCATGACACTCCCTCTTCTTTCGAAAACTCAGACATCATGACTCGGACATTACTTACCACTTCGATAGTCGAAGGTGTGTGCTTTTTATTCGCATGATGGATCATGGCGTGCTGTTGCTTGATCGTTGCTGCATTGACAACCCTCAACAAGGAATCATACTTGGCGCTGAAGCCAGGTCTGCCAAGCGTTAGACCAGCCGGCTGTTTGGGAAATAAGTAGGAGAGCGGATTACGAATCTTCCAGCCGTAATGCAGCCTGTTTGACGTCATGCCGGTGGAAGAATGGATGGAGTCGTTGTACAACCCCTTGATTGAATACAACTTGCGTTTCGTGATCCAAAATGATTAAGGCACGAAGAATTTGAAACACGGTTGGATTAATCTCCTCAGCCAAACCTCTGGCTTCGAGATGATGACCAGATGTCATGCTCAGTTTGAGGCTAGGGAGTTGGGACGTGAAGTCCTTCCATTCAATACTTATAAAGCGTGGGTCCTGATCACTCACAAGGGTTTTAAGGGTCCCGAACTGCAGAATGTACTTCTGGTGGAACTCACGGATGACAAGTGCAGCTGGGGCACTTGGTGGCAATAAAATGAGATTCAGGAGTTTGAAAAATCGATCAACAATCACCATCACTTGTGAATATCGATTCTTACCGTCTTTCCCATGTTCGTGAAGTCGATAGAGACAGTCTCTCTGGGACCGTTGGGGAAGGGAAGCGGTTTAAGCAATCCATGGGCTTCGTCTTGACTGTTTGATTCGTTGACAAACTTGACACTCAGACACAAACTTTTCAGTTGATCCAGTAGGTTTTTGCCATGCCGAACTGTCCTCTCCGACTGTGAGCCAAATCCAGGAAATGTGTGCGGAGAGGATCATGGTTGGGAACACACAAACGGTCGTTCTTTCCATTCGTGAAAATCAGGCTGCCGGCTAGGTTCAGGCCACAACTGCTCAAGGATCAGACTAAGGAGTGG